TGCTTGCAGGCAAATGGTATTTCTTGCAGATATTCCAATGCACCCTTGTTGCTACTGTGTCATGCCGTTGTTTGTAGTCAGGCTGTGCGATCTTCTTGCAGCAGCTAACTAGGTGGTCCATTGTTTCTTCAGCTTCTTTGCAGAGGCTGTGGCGGTATCATCATCATCATCATCATCATCATCATCATCATCATCATCATCATCCTGTGTCACAAGCTGATACTCTGTAATACATGTATTTATCTGAAGGGAGGCCTCTAGAGGATTCTGATGTCCAAGGTCTAAAATTACCTACCGGTACCGTTAGGAAATACTACAAAAATCCTGCCACTTTGGGCTGTAAACTCCCTGAGAAATAAATAATCCTAGTTCTGATATGCTTCTGTGTGTTCCTACAATTCTCCTACAGTTCCAGCTGCTGGCCTGAATGAGGATCCTGACTAAAATACTGACAATTTTTTTTCAGTCTGGAAACAAGCACAGATCAGTTTCAAAAATCAGGACTGTTGCTGAAGGTCATATTATCCATTTTAAAATGCAAATTGGTACAGCTGAAAAAGAACGTTCATGGGGGGTGAGGTTGGAATGGGATTAAAAATAGAATCCATCCATTAATCTATATGCTGAGCACCATTTCCAGAGCACCATTATGAACTGAGCATTCCTTCCTGAGATTCTTCTATAATCAGGGATTTTTCGGATACCTCCTCCTGTCCATCATCTCAAACAGCTCAAACCAAGCTGTGCAAAATCCCAAACAACCCTGATTTTTAGGGCTTAAGGACTGTTCAATTAAGTTCTGTATCCTAAATGAGCTGAAACATGGAGACTTTTACTGCAGTGGCATTCTAACCATCACTGCTAGAACACGGGAAAAGAGAAATAAACCAAGGGAACATGCGTAGCTATGTAAATCAGAAAACATAAAAGCGAGTTCTAATTTACATAGAGCTAGAGCTGATGGAAGTTTCAGCTTATGATTAAAAGGATGTTCCCTTTTTAGCTAACAAAAAAAGAAAAAAGGGAAGGGGAGAGCCACTGTTTCACAAAATGGAGAAGTAAAAAGCTCATCTCTTTTGCCTCCCTTTGAAATAAATTGGGCTTTTCCAGCTCAACTTTTAAAACTCCCTTTAATAGAATACAGTATACTGATTTAGGTTCCATTTTCCTTTCCTGGTTCCTCTTCCTCTACCCCCATCCACACCCTCAAAAAATCTTATCTGGGGATAATCAGTGGAAGCTTCTGATCACTTGCAGTTATCAATCATGCAGCTTCATGCCCTCAAATCCTGAGCTGTAAATGACAAGATCTGGAGCCAAGGAAAGCCTGGAGGGGTTCTGTGGTACAACCAAGGGGGTCCTATGATCTTTGGCACTAAATATCATTTACAGTCAAAGACCACAGGACTCCTGCTGGAACTGATACTCTAGCCAGCTAAAGAAGTCCCATGATTCGCTTTCTCACTTCCCAAGCATAATGGGTAAGAAAAGTTTAATACTGGAACCAATCACCTAGAGAGGCAGTGGGTCCTTCTTTACTGTTGGCATTCAAGCCATGGATGGGCAGCCATCAGAAATGCTTTCATTTGGATTTCTGCACTGGCCAGATAGTTGGACTTGATGGCTTATGCATCCCTTCAAGTTCTGTGCTTCTTTAATTTGTACAACCTGCAGGCTGTAATCACAAATAATGGCAGTAGGATACAAGTTTCTCAACGGGGAAGTTGTCCCAATTTTCAACATATCCTTTTGGTATTGACAGATTTCAATCTTCATGCTCTGGATGTGGGGTCTGGAAAGATTCAGCAGTTCATGGCCTACTTGGCAACCCTGGATTTGTCCCAGGTAAACCTGGGCCCTGTGTTTACAGGTGAACATATATTGGAAGTAATTTTGCCTCTGAGCAGTTGATATATGATCTGAATATGGAGGATACTATGCTTAGTCCTTTTCTATGATCATATTAGTTCCTGGTCCAGATGGGATTCTTTGTTCCACCAGGAGGGAACAATTAAAATGGTGTTCTCAGGTAACTTATGGATCCTGATAGAAAGGAGAAGGAGGAGGAGGAGGAGGGGGGAGAAATAATTAATGGAAATAATTAGTGATAATAATTTATTAAACTTGTCCTTGATATTCACCCAGCAATCTGGAAGGGAATTCCACTGAATGCCCAGTGGACTCTGGTATCTTGAGGTGAGCCAGGCAGGTGACATGATTGACCTTTCCTCTGTGTCAGCCGATCTGGGGATCATCTTAGTTTACCAAGAACCTCAGAAATTTGAAGTGGCAGGTGCAATCCTGAAAGTCAATGAGGGAAGATGAAAAATTAATCTGATCAAGCATGGTGTATGGTGGATTGTTATCTGGTGCATTGTTGGAATGGCCTATTACCAGTTGTGAAAGGATGGAAAAGATTAGCTTTCTGAAATCTGCTGTGACCATTTTGTACACCATTTTGTCAATAAAGTTGTTTATATTCTTCATGGGCAGAAGCAGTGACTGGGATAATATCTTATAATGCCATATGGCACATCTTTTGGCCTGTGGGGACCAATGATGTGGATAGCATGACCTATCTAGCATGAGCTCTACCATTGGGCTTGGATCCATGCCCTACATGGCTCACTTGGGCAGCTGGGGGTATGTGGCTAGCTAGGTCTGGGAGATGATCATTATCTCTTTAGGGATTGGGTAATATTGG